TATTTGTTGGTGCAATTTATTTTTTGATTATACTACCGCACCGGGTCGGGTTCGGATAAAATATTAGGTGTAAAGCTACCGAACACTTTGTTTTGTCAGATGACGGCGCGATGATATCTGTCAGTGTATACTGAATAGTGTACATCTGTAAGACGTCAAGACATAAAATACACTTGACATTTAAAATAAAGAAGAAACAAATAAGACTATATATTTTGAATAAGCGTCAGCTATAGTAAAATACCGTGTAGTCTATTCGAATTGATGGAAGTATTTCGACGACATTGCCAACAGTTTGTTTGATTTTTATGTAGACAATCTTTTATCAATTGAAAATTTGGCGAAAGAATTTTCCGCTTTGGAATAACAATACTTCGGTGTAAGTAATTTTATATTTATTTTAAATAATTTTTTTCCCTTTATAGTGTAAACAGAATAGAAGAACAAAAACAAAACCCTGCCTGTATGAAGAAAATGGAAAACGTTTACGGTTTTGTTTTACTATTTTCCACACAACAAAAGAATTATTCTTAGACCCCGGCTTCGTGTTACTATAGATCTACTTTTTCGCCTTCGCCTTACACTCCCAACTACATGAGGCCGGTCATTGTATAAGTATATATAAATGCACTCGAAAAGTTTTCAAGCAATAACTCACTGGCTGTGCTACCAACACCCAGCTGTTTCTCCAGTGAAGTATTGCCATAAGGGAAGTCATGTGATCAACAGTTCCTTATTGGTTAAAAGAAAATTGACATATCGAAATCGTTAAATCTAAGATTTGCGTGGGTGAGCCTTTTAACGTAAAACACATAAAGAAATAAAATAATGAAATATTTAAATAAACCCTTACCACAAAATTAATACTTAGTAGCGTATACGTATTTCGGCATGTATACATTTTATCTACATATACCTAAACCAATTTTTCGGAACATCGTTATTACTATTTTTATTTAATATTTATTTCAAATTGACTATTGGAAACTTCTACTAAGAAAGGTGGTAATGGATTACTCATTGCTGTGCCTTCAGTTATAGAACATATTTTAAAAACATTGTGACTTATACATAATTTTATTAAATTTATTATTAATTCTATTTTTTTCTATATTTAAATTATTTATCCAGTCGTTAAAGATACTTATTGTTATGTCTATGGAAATACTTGAAAATAGAGCTACCACGTCGAAGGATTTAAGCCTGTCATTTGGTTGGATCTTATCATTAAATAGTTCAACATTTTATTTTTTTAATAAAAATACCACAAGTGCTTAAGATTTCTCTAGAATAATTAAACTATTGAAGTGTTTTTTTTTATTGAATAATTTTTGTTATTGTACAACGTTAACGGATTACTAAATATTTACCTTTTTTATTATTTTCCAGAGTGCTATTAACTTAAATGTTAAGACTGTAAAAAGGGTGAAGTTTTATTTTTATATGGACGCATTACTCAACCGCACTCCACTAAGAGTAATTATTCAAAACTGATTATCGATTCATCAAAATGTTTTGCAATTTATTTTTATTCTAAAAAGTTAACTAAATATACACCCGTTTAAGTTGAAAAGTTGAAAGAGCTCTTGATAATCCTCAAAAGGTAAATATTTGGTAATTTTATAATATTGTACAATAAAATAAAAACAAATGTTTTTAAAAACAAAAAAAAAACTATAAATGTATAATTATTGTCCCAGAAATGAAAAATTAATTACCCTGTATGCGTTTTATTGATTGGAAGTTCTACTTGGAATGAGAGCCCTGTTATGTTATAGCTTTTAAATGTGTATCTACAATGACCAGGACTAGTAAAAAATTAATAATAAAAGCGGGCGAGTCAATTTGGAGTGTCCAACTAACCTATTTAGTTTATATAGATTATAAGCAGATGCTTATAATGCTAACAAGGTAAAATAACATTTTTAATAATTTAAAAAAACGATCAACAAATTGTTATAGAATGTAAAATCGGTTATAAACAGTTTTTTAATAAACACAATAAAAATTATAATAATATAATGAAGGCGCATAGAGTAGGCAATTCGAGTACATGAGTGTTAAGGAATTTTAAGTTTGCCTATACAGCTGGTTAACAATTAATAATATAATGTAGAACCCCAACTGAAACCTTTTAAAATATTGTCTATCAAAGCGAAAAACAATAAGTTCCTACACTAAGAGATGAGGGTGTATAATTAAAATGCATAAGTTTCGGTTATTGCACTTGTAAAATCCAAAAACTTATCTTTATTTCAATGGCTTTTAAAACGGTAAACGATAACGTTACCGCGAATAACGTTTATATGTACATATTATATAGATTTTAACCCTTATAGTACGTAGTAAATTATGTCTGTACATATCATGTACTCAAGGCTTGGTGAATTCGACCAACCTATTAAATTAAAAAAGAAAAACACGATTTATCTAACTTCTTTACTTCAAACCGGACGTTCGCTAATACGATCCTTCGCCTGAAGTCGATATTGCGAATCATTTGTAACTAAAATGTGTTTGTTTCCACACAAGTAATTCCACATGTGCTCGATGTGTCTCGAAATAATTTCTAATAATAAAATAATGTCGATTTCAAAATGAAAATCTATTTATAATGATTATAAAAACTATGCGATTTCTGACCATCGGCCAACCGTCGATGTTCAAGTTAAAATACTGCGTCGATGTTCAAGTTAAAATACTGATATTCGGTATTTTATTAAAACAACCAAAATTATTGAAAATTTCATCAATGAGTAAATGAAATCTCGTTATTTTATCAATTATGACTATATGTTTGTTAACTGTCAAGAAATTACTGAATTTTATTTATATTTATGAAAAAAAGGTATTCCTAATAAATCTCAAAAATTAGAATCCATTAATAATATAAACACTTTACAGTTATTTATTAATTATATGTTTATCGTAATGTTGATCTTGAAAAAAAAAAGATATTACCTATTATTGTAATTTAGAATCAAAGAGTAACGTATTATAATTTAGTCCTTAGACATAGCACATTTCTAAATGGGATTCCAGTATTTGCATGCTTGATGTATATAGAAATGTCCTTTTTTCGAGTGTCTAGTTCTGTTTATCTAAAAAAAACCTGAAGGACGCTATCCTCTCATGAATCTATTATACTTTATCCTGTATATTGACAATTTTTAAATCTGGCATAGCTATCAAAAATTGTATTAAAACCCAATACAATACAATTTCACAGGAAATAACTTTAAGATATTTCTAGGTGTTAAAAAAAGTTACTTGAGAAAGGTGTGGCTTAAAACACACTCAACTTGGTATATACATTTGTTTTAAACGTATTAAACAAAGATACATACTTGGGCATTTTCAATGATACTACTGATTCAAAACTACTTGGTTTATATATTCGAGTGGTGGCTTTCCTCGGCTATTAAACGATAGCGACTAGTATAAAAATAGCGCCAATAAAATATTATTATGAATTTCGTGTGTAGAATTTAACAAGAATAAACATTAATTTAATGTTAAATAAATGTTTGTGCACTGCGCGATTGGGTTGAAAATAACGCATATATAGTGAATAAAATAATGAAAAAGTAATATTCCATTTTAGGCGCCGTCGTGCCTAGTCACTATTTGTTTTCAATAATATATATTGAATATACATATGTACTTTTATCGATCTTTGGTTTTAAAACGTTATTAGCTAAACTTCTAATATTTTAGTGTTAAATACCAACGTAGCCCATTAATCGCTTTAGACTGTCATCCAATAATCTCTAATAGTCTTTTTTTGACAGCCATTGTTTGGCTAACAATCGCATCGCCTCGTAATATTCTGTTAACGTAAAATTGCAAACAATAGCACCGTATTTAACAAGTTATCATTAAATAACAATAAATAGGTTTATTAATAAATTTCCATCGTGACGTGGTATTTTATAACAGTTACCGAAACATAAAGTATATTATTAAAAATGTATACAATTGAAAAACGGCAATTTCAAATAAAAGTGTTTAAAAAGTTTACTTACCATAGTAATATAAGTATCTATTGTTATTACTGTTTTACTGAAATTAAATTTTAACACCTATACATAACTCGTATTTTTATCTTTTTTTTTTTATTCTTAGTTTCTTAAGTATACCCATTTTATCACGAATTATGTAAAAATTATAGCTCTTGTTGTTTAATTCTAATTTTTACCCTTTAGTAACAAACTTTTGATGACTTTTTAGTAGCCTGAAATATTAGGTTTTGTTTAAATTTAATATTAACAAATAAACGACTTTGTTTACATTTTTTTTTTAAGTGCCTACTCTTTCAATACAGTTTGCATGTAATTTACCCTACCAGTAGAGCTTAGATGACATTTTGATTTGGTTGGTTGATATTATACAGATTTTCTAACCACCTAACACTGACCTAACAAGTCAGCAATCCGGATTATTTGCTTCTCTAAAAAGGTCGCTTTCTACTTGCGAGCTCCAGATAGAAACTGCTAGTAACCGAACGCTGAACCGATCCGTTATTTACACTGGTGCACTTGTATTTTCCTACTCAATTGCTATTTCGCCCTACAGCCGCCAAAACGTACGCATATAAAGTACTAATAACCAAATGCTGTTCTTTGAAATGCACTGTGTATATTGCCGAGTAGGTACAGCACCTATATCTTTTGTTTCCATTTATTTTCTGTCCATAATAATAATAAAAAAAATGTTTTAATTTGTGTACAAGAATCGATAGCAATAAAGTGGATGTATCCAGGCAAATTACGATCAACCTATAATCAATTTAACACTAATAATAATAGTTTAACAAAAAATAATAAACATTCTTTACTTTGCGTCGAAACTAAAATGTAAACAACATACTAACAAATAGTAAGAATCAGTCGAGACTACTATAATGAATACTGTTAAAAAAAAAACCAAAATATTAACCTTTTTTTTTTTTTTACAAAATGTTAAAGATATCGAAGTTAAATAATATTGAATATAAATACCGTTTTGTGTGGAGTTTGGTCCAATTTGAGCGTGTAAAATACTGAGACCGGGCACAATAATAGCTGGCAGAGTGCTAGATCGCAGAAGCGGCGGTGGTTGTTGTCCACGTGACCCAACTTTATCTCTAAGGACAAAAAATACACAAAACAATTTAACGTATGCTGTAGTTAAAAGTTATTACACATTTATTCATGAGGCAGTCCCGAAAGTTATGATAAAAACTGACTAAAATATACGCAATTATCTTTTATTGCTAAACAAAATGTTTAATTATAATGTTATATTTGTTGTGATGCTCTTTTGCTCTAAAATATACTTTTTAATCGTTTCCCAAAGTTTTAATTTTTAATAACAGTCTATGTTTTACTGTGTTGACCACAGTAAAAGATCTATTCTATTACGTCATGTTGAAACGAGGTTATGGCTTGATTACGTTTTCTTAAAAAGAGGTAGGCATTTATTTGTTGAATTTTTTTAAAATAAAATCTAAAATTTCAATTATAAACTGTTTAAAATATAAATTATTTTAAAAACCACTGCTCGCGACTTATTATATTTTACCAAGAAAGAAACAATTCGAGTAACTACATCAATCGATCGTATTTTTTTTAAGTAATCTGCGTGTTCTGGAGCGTAATTAAATTGAACAAAAAAATAAACAACGTTCTTTTTGACAAGCTGTCATAACTGTGAAGTATCTCAACATGACACAGCGTGCTAACCATTACATAAGATGATACAGTTAATAATAATAATTTACAAACTTAAATACGTTGTATTAAATTAAAAAATATGTTTAATTTAAATGTTATAAAAGTAATTTTTAAAGAACCCTAAATAATTGTTGTCCTTAAGTTATGGAATATTACGTTCTTTTATTTCAACTATGTGACTACTGAATCTATTGAATGCTAATATAATGTGTTTATAACTACTCAATCAAAATTCATACAAATAACCACTTTGCCAGTTTTACCATAACATTATAATTTTACCGTTTATTGTAAATTACTATAACTTAATTTTAATATACGTATTTGGAATTTGTATATTGAATATGAAGTATTACTCCGAACTTTTTTTGTTTATATTATTAACTGAAAAAAACATAATTTTTATTAAAGTAATATCATATTTTCTTATAAAAAAGTTTTAACGAATAGAAACATCAATTTGTAGCTGTGTGAGCTAAACAAATATTAAAAGATTTCCAGCACAAAGCTGGAATTAAAAATTTTAATCGAAAAAGTACAATACAATTTAGTTTAGTTTAGTTTTTCGTTGGTGACAAATATAATTTTTATTAAATAAAAAAAAAAAATAATTCGTTTGAATAAGAAATGTTCAAACCCGTATGACGGATGTATATGGTTAAAATTTACTAAATAATAAATATGAGGAAGAAATATTGTTGAATTATCGTGTTTAAAATTAATTAAAAATAAACCATATTTATTACATATTTCATAAATAGTATGTACCATAAATCTTTGGAGATTTATTCTGACATAGTTATTCAATCAACTTTACTATAAATATTTTGACGGAGCAGTGTATGTTTTTAAGCGTTTTTATGTACTACCGTTACGAATATATTAAAAACGTTATAAATATAAAAACAAGGAATATTAAATATTAAATAAAATAGGATATTAAATAGGGATTTTTTTTTAGTGTCTTACATTTTTTGAATTTGCATGGTGAAGAAGAAAATCCACTAATCCAATCAAATCTATTATGCGGTGCACTGCGAAAACGCGTGTGCATATTCAACTGTTTTCATTCGAAACGAGTTCAATATAAAATCAGAAAGAATAATATAATTAAATGTATGAAAAAAAAATATATTTAAAAAAAGGAAGATCGAAAAAATATATAAGTACTTATATTAATACAAAAAAGGTCGATGTTAACGAAAAACGAAAAGCCGACGATCGCATTCGAGATAAATAGCAAAACCAATGTTAGAGTTTTTTTTTATATATACACGGATCAATAGATTCAAACGCTTTTTTCAATGGCCGCGATTTCCCATTGAAGATTGCTCGACTATTGAGGTTTGGGTGAAGTGACGACTCAAGATTTTCTCGGGTGTTGTCACGTTCCGGTTAAAGTCAAGGGTCGGAGTATATTTTATTCGGCTCGAACGACACATGTCCTATATAAACCCAATTTTATCTTGATAAGTATATATTTACACACTCATATATATATATATATATATGAGTGTGTAAATATACATTTATATTGCAAGAAAATTAAAATTCCATGTTTAATCGGTATACTGTGTAAATGTTCATTTCTACATTTAATAATGTTCATCTCTAGAAAAGCAATCAACAAAGCTAGTACGATAAATAATAACTTGCCGAATGTGATGTGAACATTTTCAAACCGTAGTGAAAATCATTACTATAGTAAAATACAACGAACTAATACCCTCAGCTCACTATATAGTACCAACATATAAATCTTAAACATAGGATAACTAGAGTGTTAGGTTACTTAAAAGTAACGATTTAATTTAACTTAAATCGTACATAATTAAACGATAACTGAACGTCAACGACAAACCTGCAAGGAATCGTATAAGACAATGATGCGGCGTTAGGTCAGCTAGAATTCCCAAAAAAAAAAGATAACCTCGATGGAAAAATATCACGAACAATTACTAAGTACTAAGACAATATAAGTATAATGTGAAAAACATACTAGACCTATCAGTTAAGTTGTAACCAGGGGTGAGCAATGATACAAGATGAAAAATAATGTTGATACATATATAAATCAAAATTTTGCACAATACATAAATTACATTTCGATACGTCTTTTTGAATCACATTTACATTGTTAATAATTATTAATAATCCTGATAATCGACAACATGATGACGCAGGATGCTATTATATCATTTTATACCTTGATATTATTTATCCATCTCTGGCTGTGACTAATGACAAAAAAAAAATCAATAACAATATTGTGCAACGTAGCAACTTTTCACAATGCCACATAAATATATTTGCGGAGTAGCAGATTCAGAACAAATTCGAGTATGCCCAGGCCTACCGAAAACTGTTAAGCTTTTTATTTAGGTGTTTTTACGTCCAAACTACCATTATGTATGTTGTATAATGTATTAATATAAATCTAAGAGAATGAGGTTGTGTTTAACTCGGATTACCTGTTCAGCAGTCAGCTGTAGCAGGAAACGGCAACTCTGCGTTATTTTGTACTCTAATCACTAATTTAAAAAATAATAATTAATGGTATTTTATCACTTTTAGTAACGATTTTCTAAATTTAAATGTATTTTATTTATTAGTGACTATTATAATTAAATCTATGATTTATAAAATGTCATACAAATCCCTTACATAAATAGAACAAAATAATTACACTAAACGGGGTCGAACAGGCTTACCTCATATATGTAATTTGTATTATTTTTGTTACTTATATGCACATACTATAATTTTATTTTGGGAACTACATAATTAGTCCAATTATTCTTTGTTTTATTTTGTATTTAGTTAAATAAACCGTTAAACACGCAAAAATAAATGCGCAATACTTTCCTCCGTTAATTATTTTATCGTATTCTGTATAGCCCTATTTATTTATTTTGAATGATTACCATTTTTATTAACTGTCCAGATATTATATTAAGTGGAATTATTTCATATTTCATGAGTTCACCATTATTTTAATTTTAGAATAATTATAATATTGGAAAAAAAATCACTAGTCCAGTAAAAAGAAAACAATAATAATTATAAAATTAACTGAACTCTACTTACATACTTACCTAAGCATGTTAATACCCAACAGCCATCCACCATTGGAATTTCTAATCGGGTTATAGGACAGTTGGTCAAATCGAAAAGGTCAAACTCGCAGACAAAAAAAGTGCAAGACAGAGTCAACACGGAAGTTAAAAAAACTTCTTTCCACAAATCAGTTTTGGGCGTCCGAATTACTCGAAAATTAGTTTAATAATAATACATAGTAATGATACATTTACCGGTCCGTCCGGGCGTTGGAGAGCAAGACCTGATTTGGGTATGTCAACTGAAGACGTCGTTGGGGTCGAAGACAAATGACCCCCAAAATTATTACTCGCTCTCTCAACCACCCCCTCCCCCCCCCCCGGACATCGTATGTTTAGAATACATTACAGTGACAAGTTCATTCTCACATAATATCATTCATTACTATTGGTTATTAACGTATACCGCTATAGGACAGTACAGAGACCATCATTTTACCGTGTACATTGTATATTGTAATTGTACACACGAACTGTAGTTATTATTCCACTATTATAATAGTGGAATAATATATTTATGTGTATCAAGTTTATCGCAATTAAACGCATCCGCCGCCAACCTAATGGTTCACACGAGAGTCCAGCAGCGGCGCGGCACAACGGTCTTCCGTTCGGCAAACTATAATATTGTGTAATTCGACCTTCTCTTCGTCAGCCGTAAGATAATAATTACTAATAGTTCAAAAAAAAAAACATAATCGACCTCCGAAGCATACAAAGCACGCACACTATAATGCCATCCGGTGACATCTTCTAAACGTGACAAATTGTTCTACTACTTAGTATTTATACATATAAGCTATTATGCAATCACTACATACATATATACATGCTATGTCAAGCCACTCCGACATAGCATAGGGGGCTGGCTCGAGGGTGTGTCGTTTTAACACACTCTCGAGTAGCACTACCGTCCGTTTGATTACGGTCAAGACTTAAAATCAATTATCCAAACCAACCTGCTCCAATTGATGTCAACCCCCCGAATACCGTGTGCTGCATCCTAAATGAGATCCGACAAATAAACAAAAATACCAGCCGGAAGCTCGAACACATATTGGCTTGCGCCACCGTCGATGAATTGAAAAACTGAATTCAAAACTAGCAAAGGTGTAATATTATTAAGTATATCTATTATGTATAATAACAATACTAATTATGTAAAACAAATAATTATGTATATAACAAAAACAGATGTTGCACTCTACAAAACTACTCACGGCCGTGCTTCCTAAACTAGATAGTTCATATTTTATGCTCGTGTGCTCATATTATAAAATATATTCAAGTGCGTA